ATTATAATAAATATTTCTTATGATTTCCTTGAGAGCTGGATTCTTAGCTTTAAGATACAGTTTGTATTTGAGGTTATTAGCTTTAGGGGGGGTTTGAACCCCAAAACCCACCCCTTGTGTGCGCTAATGCTGGTGGTACTTATTTTGTTGTGTGTAATTGTTCGAAGAGCCAAAATGAATAACGGTTATTAAAGGTTTCAAATGCAACGATACTTGTACGTACATATGTATTTACATACATATATGTATATGAGTATATAAATATGTAGCAAGTTGATCTTCTGATATATGTATGATGGGTATTAAAAAGCCATTTTATTTGAAATTTGACACGCATTTTTGATTTAATCGTGTCATTTATTTCCGGCCACTTTTTGGGGGATATTTGTGACGTGCGCCTACACTAATCAACAATCTTTTTATGGATCATACATACATATATATATATGTATTAAGTAATTTCCGTCTCAGACGATTTTGTTGCATAAATATCCACGTTTGTAATGAAACTGACAAGTGAATCAAATTTTTTAATTAATAGCTTTATTTAAGTCATAAACACTCAAACTTTTTCACGAAATTAAACGAAAAGTTTTTCATTACCGGTTTCTTCTTATCATCCACAGTTATTGAAATTCGAAGCTAAATGCGGCATAAACAATACTAAATTAACAGCAACAACAACAACAACAAAGCAACTGGCAGCTGTATAAACAACGAAACGTGCATAAAACGAAAACAGTTCAAAACATAGACGTACTCGAGCGTAGGTAGGCTACACCGCTAATTTATAATCAAAAACTTGACACCCCGGAACGGGAAAAGCAATAAAAAATAAAATTAGAGACAACACATTCAATTCCCGAAGAAGCACGTGCCAAAGAGGAAGAAGAAAATATAGATTACGGTAAAAGTAAAAAGTAACATAAACAAATAGATTTTGATCAACTTTAAATTACACCGAAAGAAACGAGAAAAGTCTGTTTATCTAAGCAAATCAAACCAACGCCCGAATCGAAACGATCAACTTGTTTGTGCTTTGTGGCACGCGACGTGATTTTTATGATGCTGCACATGCAAGAAAACAAACAACACAACTAAACGAAAAAAATAGCAGAAAAACCAAAAAAATAAATAAAAATCAGACTTAAAAATACATCGCAAAAATTCCTGAAAAACACACAACGCGCTGAAAAACTATTTTCAGCTGCACTTGAAATGCCTACAGAATGTGAGCCGACGACGATCGCCAACACGAGCCAAAACGTGCCACAGACGCAGCAGCAGCAGCAGCAGCAGCAGCAACAGCAACAAGAACAGCATCACGATCAGCAACTGCAAGCGGAACAGTTGCCAGCAGAAAACGAAGAAGCAGCAGCGGCAGCTCAACTTGAGTTTCATGACGACATGGAGGGCAAAGAGTTGAATGGCGGCAAAATGTCAACGTCACAGACATCAACAACGTCCGCGACGAATGGCCACAATGGGAGCGGCAACAACACAAATGGAGTTGGAAAGAAAACGGTAAGTGTGGAATAGGTACATAGATGAAATATGGCGGAATTTGTTGCACTTCTTATGCAAATTTTCTTAGGCCCACTTGCGGAGCTCAGAGTTAAATTTTTATATTCCTTAACCAGTCAATGTCTGGCAGCATTGAAAACTTACCCGGAGTTAAGTAACCCGAGGGATTTCTAAATTAAGTAGACACCACCCACACTTAGCAGCACTTCCGATTTCGATCGGAAAGGTAGTGTCTCAGAGGTGGTCCCATACTAATCTGGTTAAGATCCGATCAGTGGATCATGAGATATATATACATATATTTTTTATTTTTTTATGTTAGAGTTGACGTCGGTTTTTATTTTGCTAAAAATTACTTGTTATACCGCTAAATAGCATATAAATTACGTAACTCACGTAGATATCTTAATATTTCATTCAATATTTCGTTTAAGATGACCAATTTCCTGCAAATACATTAAAATTTACAAAAGGAATTTCACTACTAACGGCCTACTTTGCGTACTTTTCTACTACCATTTTCGCACCAAGGGACTTCATTCTTCACATTTCTCTGTACTTCGTAAATGCAACCTTTTTTAGGAAGTGTAGGCTGTCAATAATTATCTAACCTTTAATTATTGAATCATGATGCATATGTATGTATGTATGTATGTATGTACATTAGGGTGGCCCGTAAATGTAGGAAGCAAATCTTTACATCAGATTTCCTAAGCCTCAACCCCTACGCCGATGTTAGTATAGTCGAAGATATCACATATAAAATTTTGGCCCCGATTGGGGTCGGTTAAGGCGTTTCGCACGGGGGTCAAAGTTCTGATTACCCAATGAAGACGTAGTAACCAACTCCAATCGGAAGCAAAATTTATATGTGATATCCTCGAGTTGAGTAGTCTCGATTTTTGGTATTAAATGAAAAAAATATTTTTAAAACTTTTAGTCCATAGAGGCATCTGGCCTTTGACCCTTTGCGACACACCTTAACCGTCCCCAATCGGGACTAAAATTTATATGTGACATCTGTGACCGTTGTATTACCGATTTAGGGGGTGAGACTAAAAAAAAAACGTTCATTTAATTTTAACGACCACTCTTATGTACATACATACATACAGATGTAGTCAAAAATATTTTTTAAATTGAACATTTTTGAAATTTTAATTTTTTTTATTCTTGTTACTGACAGAATTGACATATGTAAAGTTTGCAAGTTATCTTTTGAAAATTGCTGGGCTAAATATTTAACGGTTTAACTCTGGTTTCTCACCGTCTTCTCAATTTTGGGGAACTATTGCTAATATCAGAAATTATTCATATACGTAAGTATTTTCAAAACGTATGCGGAGTTTTGAAAAATCCAATATATATGAGTCCATACATATGTAATTTATGAAGCCCATGAGAACCCAGCAAGAACAGTACCAAAGAATTGATGAGATTTAAGAACGACACATCTGACAGAATGTGGTGTTTTTCGTTAGAAGATCGATGTAGTCATTTTTATTAGGACCACAGGCAAAAAATGACCATCATCTGTTACTCTCATCAATACATGTGATTACCTATCCCTCTCACTCGCATGATTTGACAGAAACTTGTGAGTATGTGTTTGTGAAGAATACATTTTTCCCCCTATTGTTGTAGTTTTTGACAGCTTGGTTAATAAATATGAATTTGTATTAGATCTGAGTACTGATCAATTTACTTATTTTCAATACTAGATTCAAACGCGAAAACGATACATTTCAAAATGTGACGTAAACATTTGGGAATTTTGCTTATTTTTTAGAGATTACCAAAGGAGAATTATTGTACTCTTCGATTCGTACAGGAATTAGGTATGTATTTCTTCGAACTTAGGTTAGGTTGGTGTGGCACGCAGTTCAAATAACCAACTAACTTAGACCTTGCAGATCCATTGTGAGACCACTGCGAAATCTCAACCTCAACCTCAATGACTATTTTCCTTAGAACCATTTTGTAGTTCTTATGAAGCGTAGGATTGATTTTATTCCTACTAAGGATAATTCTGTAAGAGAACTAAAGAGGTGCCTACCTAAAAAGCCTGATGAGCTACTGGCCAAAGCTGGCAACTTCTGCAATATTCTTCGAACTTAATATTCTTCCATAGCTTTTATTATTATTTTCATTTAATTTTGTTTCGAAATTCTTTAGTCAGGGAATGTCAATGTTGAGAATTTACATAAATATATAAACGACTTGAATGCAAGTTATCTTAAATAGGTATGTATATAACTCAAAAATTAATATAGGCGCATACATACATACGTATGTATGTGTACGTAAAAATGTGTGCCACTCTATGTAAATATGCAAATTTCACAGCAAATCTAATAATGAACAGAACTTTCCTTCCTACCAAACTCTATTTGCTTGATTTTAACAAGCCATTTTCCCACATCAATAAAATTTCACCATTGATTTTTTAAATCGATTTATTGACATCATTTTGGATAAGAGAATTCGCTGTAAAAGGCAAGCCATGCAACGGTTTTGGTAGTAGCTAAAGCACACAATCGCTCACTAATATTGAGTGTTGTGGGCTTTTTTAGTAAAATATCATTAAGATCATTGTGATGAATGTTTTTGCAACTCTTTGGCGCTTGTAGGCGATTAAGCTGGATAATTAATGGAATTATTGGAAAGAAAGCGCTTATTTTGCATTTTAAGCTATGCTTCTTTGGCATTTTTTTATGGTATATAATGCCTTTCAATCCTTTTAAATATCGACTTTGCTTAATTTATAGTCTAAGTAAAAGGTATTACTTAAGTATTGATATTCAAATATCATTTTGCTCATTTCTTCTGCAAAATTTCACTTGGCGCGCTTTGCCGGCAGTATCTAATACTTACTAATCAAAAACCATCTCAGCAATTATTCAAATTAGTCAAGCAAGCGCGATGAAAGAAGCACAACTACGATTAGTTTAATTGAGTTGATGTTTAACAACCGACTCTACGTGTAGGATAACCAATTTCTCCTTTGGCGCGCCCTAAAGATAAGTAATAACTAAACTAATATTGATAAAATTATTTATTACTTTAAAGCAACGAATATCGTTAAACAGCGCGCTTTGCTTTTTTTGCACTTTTTATATTTACTCTTAGTCAGTGTACTAGTCTGCATGTTTACATACATGCCTAGATATTTGCACATATGTACATTAGTGCGGATCGGTCCCCATACAAAAAAAAAAGTTTTTC